CAAAGAACCTCCTCCATCATCTCCTGCTCCACCACCTCCTCCTCGTTACAGCCAACCACACGATAAAAATATAAAATCCCAAAAAAAAGGATAAAATCTAAAAGAAAAAAGAAGACTCTTGTAGACCCTATTGTCTAAGTTGTCTCCTTCATCTCGGCCGAGCTAGTCGACGTTTCGGTAGAAAATCCTTTAGTTTCTAACATTCTCCTACCATCTTTGCGGACTGGGTTCTCTACCGCATTTCCTCCGCTCATCTCTCTTCTCACCAAATAATCGCAGCAACTTCAAACTTGTACAGGTCTTGCATTTCACTTGATCTGCCTCTGGATCCTCTCTTCCTGCTTGACTTGAACCACTTTCTACCACGACCTTTAATCCCACCTACCCACTCCGATCTACAAGACCCCTCCACTAGGTTAGAGCTCCCTAGCCACACTTCAGGTAAGTATCCAGCTTCATCCCCTGATCAGGTAGAATCTCGAGACCTAGATTTCGCCTCATCATATTACCACTACCTAATCTGCAACTCCCTGACTAACCCTCCCGTTGTCTTTAAAAGCCAAACCGCGCAGCCATATTAAGATTTTGGACCCTGAAGACGCTAGCACGATGCCTTCTGATACCTCCTCTCCAGCCCTCCCACCCCCCGCCTTGGATACTAATGGAGCTGCAAATGCCCCGGAGTCTCCCACTCCTACCTCTGCCGCTGATGTGGTGCAAACACCCACCGCATCCGGCTCAACAAATGCACCTCATTCGGCTTCCCTCTATGTTGGGGAATTGGATCCCTCTGTCACCGAGGCTATGCTCTTTGAGCTATTCTCTTCCATCGGTCAGGTGGCTTCTATCCGCGTCTGCCGTGATGCTGTTACGCGGAGGTCTCTTGGATACGCTTATGTCAACTACAACAACACCGCAGATGGTGAACGAGCCCTCGAAGAGCTCAACTATACCTTGATCAAGGGCCGTCCCTGCAGAATAATGTGGTCGCAGCGTGACCCAGCCCTTCGTAAAACAGGCCACGGAAACGTATTTATCAAAAACCTCGATATAGCCATTGATAATAAAGCTTTGCATGATACGTTTGCAGCTTTTGGAAACATCCTCTCCTGCAAGGTCGCACAGGACGAGAATGGGAATTCCAAAGGATATGGTTTTGTTCACTACGAAACAGCAGAGGCCGCTACCAATGCCATCAAGCATGTTAATGGCATGCTCTTGAATGAAAAAAAGGTCTATGTCGGACATCATATCCCAAAAAAGGAACGCCAAAGCAAGTTCGACGAGATGAAGGCGAACTTTACCAATGTTTACGTCAAGAATATTGACCCAGAAGTTTCAGATGACGAGTTCCGTACACTTTTCGAAAATTTTGGTCAAATCACATCCGCCAGTCTAGCCCGTGATGGTGACAGCGGAACGTCGCGAGGGTTTGGGTTTGTTAACTTCTCATCGCACGAGGCCGCCGCCGCCGCCGTCGATGCACTACACGAAACGGAACTCAAGGGCCAAGCACTCTTCGTTGGTCGAGCGCAGAAGAAACACGAGAGAGAGGAAGAGCTTCGTAAGCAATATGAAGCTGCCCGCATCGAAAAGGCAAGCAAGTATCAAGGGGTCAATCTTTATGTCAAAAACCTTGACGATGAAATTGATGATGAGAGGCTTCGGCAAGAATTTTCGCCGTATGGGACAATCACAAGTGCAAAAGTTATGCGGGATTCGTTAGATAGTCCGAAAGAGAAAGATGGGGAAGAGAGTAAGGTAGGCGAGCCCGAGGAAAAGGCGACGGATAAAAAACAAGGCAAGAGTAAAGGATTCGGGTTTGTCTGCTTCAGCAATCCCGATGAAGCATCTAAGGCCGTCGCAGAGATGAACCAGCGTATGGTAAATGGAAAACCGTTGTATGTCGCTCTTGCCCAACGCAAAGACGTACGCAAAAGCCAGGTATTTTATTCACTTTGTGCATGGAACAATAATGACCATTGGCTGATCATCTTGTGTTTAGCTCGAAGCCTCTATTCAACAGCGAAATCAAATCCGGATGCAACAAGCTGCTGCCGCTGCTGGAATGCCACCACAACCAGTAAGTCCACACTCCTCATAAATGGTCTAGAAGAATGAAACGAAGGGAGGCATGAATATTCAAAACCTCTCGTACCTAAAAACATAACGACTGACATGTCAAAGTACCTATCCGCACCACTCTATTACCAACCAGGAGCACCAGGAGTTCAACCTCCTTTCCTAGCGGGGCCTGGTGGTCCCGGCGTTCCGCCAAACAGGCTTCCTTTCCCCCCACAGCAGGCCGGAATGATGATATCCGGGGCTGGTAGAGCGAGCGGCAACTGGCCGCCCAGTGCAAACCCATCCGGAGGGAACAGAAACGGAACACAAGGTCAACCGGCTCCAATTTATGGAATGACAGGCCAAGGCGGCCCTGGCGGTCAATTTGGCTATGCCCAAGCATTTAACCAGGCCCAACTAGCAGCAATGAACCCAGCAGCTCGAGGTGCCCCACAACTAGGTCTAAATCCGGGGAGGGGTCTTTCTAGCGGAGGTGTCAACCAGCAGATGGGGCATCAACAACGTGGACCGCTAGGTCGAGGAGTCGCGCCATCGCAAGGCAGGGGATATCACAGTGACCAGGCGTCACAAGGTGCACCGCCTCAATTAGCTAACTTAAACAATCTACCACCTCAACAACAGAAGCAAGTGCTTGGTGAAGCCCTGTATCCGCGTATTCACGCTATCAATCCCCAGCTAGCAGGCAAAATCACAGGGATGCTCCTAGAGATGGATAATAATGAGTTGCTCAATTTGTAGGACTTGCCTTCTCCTTTTCTTTTTCCAAGAGACTTCAACTTTTTGCTAACGACGAAAATCTCATTACAGGATTAAGGACGACTCAGCACTCCGAAACAAGGTTGACGAAGCGCTTTCGGTCTATGACGAATATGTAAAGTCGAAAGCTACCGACGACACTCCCGCCACACCTAGTGCCCAAGCTGATACAGCAAAGCCATCAGAAGAAGTTCCCGCTCCCAAAGAAGATACTAAAGAGTCTCCCACAACTCAGGGGTAACTGGCGCTTCTCGCTTGCCACTCCGCAAAAGCCACGGTAACTGCCCTGGGAAATATATCCTTCATTGCCCAGGAACCATTTTTTCAATTTTTTTTACGGGCTACATGAACGTTACATGATACTCTTCCTGTGAAGGCCCTATCCCAGTATTCAAATATGGATGGTGTTTTTCGGACTTGTATTATACTTCCTGTTGTTATTCCGCGTACCCCGATTACTCACCCACCTCCGAGGCCTTCATCTGCATTTCCCTGTTCCTTAGTTTTCAATATGTATTCTCTCCTTGTGTTTCTTTTCCCTTTGGGTTAGGGTCGTTCCGGGTGCAAACGAAAAGTTATGTATCTCTTAGTCTTCACTTCATGGGTGCTTTTTATGATTTGTGCTGCATTCTCGTTCCCCAATTCAACCTTCCTACCTCTACTTCGATCACCCTCTAGTCTACCGACGTCACTGACAAGCTGGGCCTCCCTCCCTCTACCCTATCCCCTCCCTCTTCTTCGTCTCTTCGAGGATAGGTGCTTTTAATTTGCGTCTAACACCTTAGCGATTGGGCACTGGGTCTCCCTCCTTGCCTCGATCATCGCTCTTCAATTTTTTTTTCTTTCTTTTTTTTTCCCTGTAAATCCTAGGAAGCAATGCAAGTGCCCCGTTGTACGTCGGGTCAAATACTTTCTCGCGGCGAATTCTTATCACTATTCACCTAAATTTCAAATACTATTACTGTATGAATCGAAATCAAAGAGTCGACAACAAAAGGGTATCCCTATCATTCTCTAACAGTAGCAAATATATATACTTAGAGTAGTTGAGGTGGTTGTGAAACTACCTATATAGGTATGTGCCTTACGCTAGACTAATTCTGGATGAAATTTTGTGCTTAGAGAAGTCAACCAAGCACACTTTCCCCAACCCTCTTTCCCACCTGCACTGGATCCCCTTGTAATTTTATCATCAAAAATCAACCGCCAACGACAACATATACCCCCGGCTGTGTGCCACGGGAAAGACTAGCATAGCTGTCGCTCTCTGGCCGCGATGTGCACCGTTCGCCCCTCTTCCTCACTGCTACCACAGGTACGTGGGATATGATTACGATGTTCAAACTTAGCCCCACTTGAGAACGTAACTCACAATCCGATAGTTGGTCCCATCACGCTCGACGATTTTACTCAATACCCTTCGTCCTTCCTCAAAAATCCTAAACTTCCGGCCCCCCCGCGGGACACAACGGTTCAGGTCCTTGACCTATGCACAATCGAACTGGCAACAAATACATCCCGCCTCGAAGCGATTTTGGCGCCCCGATCCGACAAATTATAAACACTTTGCACAATGCCCCATATCCACCGGCGCCCACCCCCGCTTCCAAACAAGGGCACTTTCCTCGCTCCGTCCAATGAGATCTTTCCTTGAGCACACGGAACGAACGGCCAACTCCAACCCGATGAATGCTGCTGCTCAGTTAGAGTTTTACAATGCACTCTACAAGGCGAACATGCCTGATATAATAGTGGAACGTTATCAGACGGGACAATACGCCACAAATTCGAGGGCAGAGGAACTTTATATCAAATCTTTAGAAAAAATTGGCCAAATCGAAAGGGCGAAAATGATTGCGGATCGGAAGGCAGAAAAGGCAGAGACGGCAGAAGGCGATACCAAGTCCGCCTTGTCGGCAGAAGAGGTTCGCGCGATAGGCCAGGCAATTGCTGCTCGATCGAAGGGAGGCGCCTCATCCATTACCGCCAAAAATCTCCACGGCCGATATGGGGACAGGGATAACCCCCTGTTTGTAGTTGTTGATGAGACAATAGGAGGCACGGTTTTCAAATGGGCAAAATTTCTTTTGACTTCGGCAGTCATGATCTACTTTGTCTTGGTCGTTATGACCGTCTTCATCGAAGCAACTGGTGTTCTAAAGAGGGTCGGTGGCAACCCTCCCAACGAAGCCCAAGGCTCCCAGCAAACAGCACGGTTCACCGATGTACACGGTTGCGAAGAAGCCAAGGAAGAACTCCAGGAACTCGTTGAATTTTTGAAGGACCCCGCTAAATTCTCCGCGCTTGGCGGCAAACTCCCCAAGGGCGTTCTTCTTGTGGGTCCTCCAGGCACAGGGAAAACCCTTCTTGCCAGGGCTGTAGCAGGGGAGTCCGGGGTTCCTTTCTTTTTTATGTCAGGCTCTGAGTTCGACGAAGTATACGTTGGAGTAGGTGCCAAACGTGTGCGTGAACTATTCGCTGCGGCTCGGGCAAAAGCGCCATCAATTGTCTTCATAGACGAGCTTGATGCAATTGGTGGTAAACGTAATGAGAGAGACGCAGCGTATGTCAAGCAAACGCTCAATCAATTACTTGTCGACCTCGACGGCTTCGCCCCCAATTCTGGGGTAATTTTCTTGGCTGCTACAAATTTCCCTCAATTACTAGACAAAGCTCTGACTAGGCCAGGACGATTTGATCGAACTGTGAACGTTCCGCTCCCAGATGTCCGTGGCCGGATCGAGATTCTTAAGCACTATGTCAAATCCATCAAAGCTTCTACCGATGTCGACCTTCAAATAATTGCCCGCGGTACACCCGGATTTTCAGGCGCGGAACTGGAAAACCTCATAAACCAGGCTGCTGTCAGAGCTTCGAAGTTAAGGGCGAGCCAGGTGCGCATGGATGATTTAGAGTGGGCTAAGGATAAGATTCTCATGGGCGCCGAAAGGAGAAGTGCTGTCATATCCCAAAAAGAAAAGGAAATGACAGCCTATCATGAAGGTGGCCATGCACTTGTGGCTATGTTTACCGAAGGAGCTATTCCATTATATAAAGCTACAATCATGCCACGTGGGATGGCCCTCGGCATCACTTTTCAATTACCCGAGATGGACCAGGTTTCTATGTCTAAAAAAGTATACATAATCCGTTCCACTCACCAAAAGAAAGCTCAGGCTGATGTCTAACTTTTCTAATAGGAGTATCTTGCCCGAATAGATGTTTGTATGGGAGGCAAGGTCGCAGAGGAACTTATATATGGGCCTGATAATGTTACAAGTGGTGCATCTAATGTAGGTATCCGATTCCCATTTCTCAACCCCCGGATCTAATCAGGATACCGGTAATATAGGATATCGCACAAGCAACGAAAATCGCACATGCAATGGTCACACAAATGGGAATGTCTGAACTGTTAGGTAATGTCGACCTACATAGCAGCTATCGAAACCTGTCGTCACAAACCAAAGAAGCAATTGAAACCGAGACCCGTAGGTTGCTTGAGGAAGGTCGGTTGCGAGCAACACGTTTATTAACAGAACACCGGAAAGAATTGGAGTTACTCGCAAAAGCTCTGATTGAGTATGAAAGCCTAGATCGTTCAGAGATGGAAAAGGTCATCAAGGGCGAACCCCTTGCCAACCGATTAAAGATACTCCCGGATGTTCAGATAAAACTCCCTGAAAATGCTATTGGCGGAACCCATACAAGCTCAGCAAGCGGGGACATAGCTAAACCAAATGAGACAGTCACATAAGAGGATCTTAGCACTTGGATTCTTTTCCGGTGTCCCTCTCGGTCTCAGCCACAAACTTTAGGGAAGATCCGCTTCTCTGTGTACAATTGGACAAGTACTTCATTGATGGAGGGGGGACTCCTTCCACTTATTTTACATAATCTTTTGCATACCTTGGCTGTTACTTATCCGTCTGATGATCATTTTATTCCCCCCCTCCCCCCAACCTTCCTAAAATCAAATGGTGTCTTTCCTCGTTCGATGATAGATAATAGATAACACTAGCCTTAGTCGTCATATTCTTTGTCAATGTCCTCCGATGTCAGCCAACCTTTCGACATTGCAACAGCCCGCTCCCATTGCCGGAAACGCCTCGTTCTTTGTGTCGGCGTAGTTTGTGCACTAAATTTGCGATGATTACGGGAATTTACTCCACGTAAATCATCGAAAGATAACCAAAGCTTTACCCCAAATCCTGCCGCGATAGCCGCCCCAAGCGCTGTCGTTTCACGCATAGCTGGCCGATCAACATCAATGCCTAGTTTGGGCATGTTAGAAGCTTTTCTTCTTATGTCGTGTTACAACTCCAGGAGGTCAACGTACCAATTATATCGGCTTGTAGCTAAACAGGGTTTTAGATGGGTGGTTTTCAACAGAATATCAGGGGCGATATATGCTTACCTGCATGCACTCATCAGAGTTACTCATCCCACCATCGACAGCTAGGTTCTTTATTGTGATGCCACTATCTAAATATCTCGCGATTCCGGTCAGATAAGCCCGGACGACGAACGCGCATATTCATATGAACACCAGCCTTTCTCCATTGCATCCATAATCGCTTTTGTCTAGAGTAAAAAAATATCCATTAGAGGTTAACAGAAGACGTCATCTAGCTCACAAGTCCGCAGAGCCATACCTGGAAACAAGTCGCTTCAATCGTTGCCCGGCAAATATGCTCTTTTTTGGTGTAATTTGTAATTCCAACTAAAGGATCCTCCATTTTAGCTCTTAGAAAATGATGGCAAGCTTTAGATTCGCGATATTACATATGGTTCCTTGGGCATCGTCAACCCAGTATGGCGCAAAAAGACCGGCGAATGCTGGTTCCGAGGTTAGCGGAAACACACAAACCTATACCCCCTTTGCATCTTATAATACCGGTTACGAAGACGACCCCCCCACTATCTACGAAAATCAGTTACATGTACTCAAATTCACACGCGGTTCGATGGGACAGACCTTGAACTGACATCGCAAGCTCTCCGATCTCATTCGCTTCCCTTATTATACCTAGATTGTCGCGTAAGAACTTAACAGCGGATCCAGCGACAGCGATTGACCCCTCCAAGGCATAAACTGGCGGCCGATTTTCAAACTGGAATGCAATGGTGGTAAGCAGCCCATTCCTAGATAAGACAGGTTGATTGCCGGTATTATAGAGCATGAAACACCCTGTTCCGTATGTGTTTTTAGCCATGCCCTGCTCGAAAGCTTTTTGGCCGACCAACGCTGCACTCTGATCACCAAGACACCCTGTTATTCTCAGGCCCTTGAGAGGCCCCCTTGATAAAACCCCATATGCTCTGCTATTAGACGATGAAGCCACTTTTGGCAGAAGCAGTTTTTCGAGTCCGAAGAACTCTGTCAGAAAAGGATCATACTCTAGTGTGTTGATATCGAAAAACAAAGTGCGTGATGCGTTTGTAACATCTGTCACATGGAGCCTTTCCCCAGAGTGCCCCTCGGCAAGGTTGTAGAGTAGCCAGGTGTCAACGGTGCCAAAGGCAAGGTATCCCGCCTCGTAAACGTCACGAGCAGCTTTCGAATGTTCTAAAATCCATTTTACCTTCACTGCTGATGGATAGGTGGAAAGAGGCAACCCTGTTTTTGAGAGAATTCGATTCGCAGCACCTTCTAGCTTCAACTGCCGTACGATATGGGCAGTACGGCTGTCTGCCCAAACAACGGCATTGTACAAAACCTCCCCACTTCGGATATCCCAAACAAGCTACAAATTACATGTTAGTTCAAGCCCCGATTTATAGACATGATAGAATAAACTCTTAATATTTAGAAAACACCTACAGAGGTTTCTCTTTGGTTTGTAATTCCAAGCGCACAGATGTCTTGGGTATTGTATCCAGAAGCGACAAATTTGCCTGTAGCAACCTCAATACAGTTTTCCACGGATTTTATCAAGACAGAAGGGTCATGTTCCACCCATCTTTCCCAGGTTCACAGTAAGTGTAGCGTAAAAGTTAGTAGAGAATAACAAGTATTGCTTATTTGAGTGAGTAGCTTCGAGCTGCTACTTAGATGGTTTACATACCCAGCATGTGGATAAATTTGATCGAACTCTTCCTGGTGCTTAGCTACTGGTTCCCCTCTTTCGTCAAAGATAAAAAACCTTGTGGAGGTAGTTCCTTGATCAATGGCTGCAGTGAATTTTCTAAACCCAGTCTCCATTTTATTTCCGCTTCTAGTGGGTATTTTACCGGTATAGGCTTTTTGTGACAGGTCAAGGCTAAGGTGTTCATGTATTCGTTGACGTCGAGATGGGTGAGGTCAATGTTAAAGTTGTGCAAGTTGAATTACGCTATGAATTTATAGAAGAATGGGATTGGTTTGTGTTGCTCGTGTGGTTCCTGGCACGGCGGAGATTGTATTGAAAATTCTTCCACGAATCACCTGCCAGTATATTTACCCGCCAAAGATCCTCCGGCCTTTGCTTCGAACCCTCACCCCAAACCGCAAATCTAGTTAATTCACAGCTTGCCTTCCTCAGTCGGAACATTTCCTAACACTAGCAAGTACTTCTCAACGACATCTGTTTAGATAAGAAGCCGGTTTGTGGAATATAAGAAGCTTGTGGGATATGCTCATAAGCCAAATTTATTGGCAACAAGCAGTTATAATTTCTATACTTTAGAACTTTTAACGCCAGGCCCAGTGCTCCAGCTGCTGTTAAGAAAATATCTACAAGGAAAATAACCTCCGATAGAGGGAGTCGATCTTGAGGAACAATTAATCATCGATTCCCGATGGAATCCACTAACACGCTCAAGTATCATTACATAGGCGTAAGTAACTAGTGGATTTTATTAGATCTTCAATGCGCTCTCCAACGCCTTCTTTTTCTTTAATTCTTTAGCAACAGCCTATTTTCCTTGATTAGCACCGCCGTATCAAACAACAGATCCAAACATTGTTCTCCTACCTTAGCTCCCAATATATGCCCTCCCCACTTTCTCCGAGAGTCTTCATACTTCTCTGTATATCCGGATCCAATTGCTTGCACCAACTTTGAAAGCTCGCTTTTGTCTTCGGACCTAACCTCAGTGAATGCGAGAACTGCAGCAGTCTGTCATGCATTTGTTTCAGTATAAATCAACAGAAAACCAAGGGACCTTTGGAAAATTGACTGGTTCATTTTATTATATTCACCTTTTTGTGGACTACAGTGCCCAGTCGAGCTTTGCCCTTGATTATAGCATAAGGAACTCCCATCTTCCTGCAAAGAGCTGGAAGAAAAACGACGAGTTCAATCGGGTCGACATCATTCGCGATCAGCACGAGGGAGGCCTTTTTGTTCTCAATCAATCCAACGACGTGATTTAATCCATATTTGACTGTATACGGCTTCTTGCTAACATCCTCCTTCTTCTTCCCCTCACTAATGGCAGTGGCCTCCGTAGTAAGGCGCTCCTTGCGCTCAGCCTTCGTTTCTGGTCTGTATTTGCTCAGAAGCTTGAATGACTGCGTTGCAGTGTTCTTGTCGAGGACATTTTGAAACTGAGCAATTGCCGGTGGGACCTTCAAGCGAAGGTTCAAGATCTTCTTTTGACGTTGAATTCGAACATATTCAGGCCATTTGACCATGCGAGAAAGGTTACGTTTTGGTTGTATGTCTTGACCAATTGAGAAATTTCGTGATCTTTTTTCGATCAAAGGGTTCTATGACCAAGCAACATTAGGTTTGCCAATATGCATCTGGGGGTGGTTCAACTCGCGATACATTACCTTCTGCTTACCCTTTCCAGCTCCCGCCTTAGATTGCGGGAATGGAGCGGGAGCGGCTTTCTTTCCTTTTGGGGGCTGGTCATGGAGACAGTTTCTGATCAGCAAATGAAGCAGTCAAAAAACTTGCAACTCTAAGAGGTACCACTCGAGATATCGCAGGGATATCAACCGATTAGTCCTCGCCCCTACTCATTCATAAAAGAAGTGCGGCGATTTCCATGGCGTATACGCCTTCGTTTGAATTTCATTCGCACAAGTGGTTCATCCAACATAATTGCCAATCATTACTAATTGGGTTTGTTGAAGGCTCTAAAATGAGCGGGCGGGACTAAAGGTCGTGGAGCTTTCTGAAATTTCTTACCATTGTGCTGATTTGTTGATTTGGAGCCGTATTTACGGGTTGCTGGATTTCTTGCTGGTGATTTGGGCTGCTGGGGAACAAATTATCGGGACAACAGAAAATTATGGAGTTATCAGAGGGAGAAAAGTCAAAACTGAGGGTTGTGTGGTAAGCAAGGGTTGACGCCCTAACTAGTCTTATTATGTAAGCTCAGAAGCTCATATAATACAACAACAGCAACACATCACCCGACTGCACCGCTTTTAATTTAGTAGGGAATATCTGTTCGCAGCATGTGGACGAAGATGCCCCGAACACGAACCCAAACGGCGTGATTTGTCCCGCACCACCAACTTAGGCACTTGAACCATATAAAATGACCAAGAAATGCACGCGGAGAATGTATACATGTATCTTAGCTCTCCTTTTGTACGGTAGCCTCATGAGCTTTTATGCACATTTTAAGATCCTCAATAGGTTTATATTTATGAACATTAAATTCCAATGGGGTTTGATCTTGAGGCCGGGACTTTGAGGCGGATTCCCCCCCCCCAAGAAACTCCAAAACCTCTTACAACAATATAGTCGGAGTGCTCTACAACCTGCCACGCACACTTCCAAGGACGAGAGGAGGGGCTGATTTAGGTTAATATTGTTCCGACTAGTCTGCCTCTTCTTCCTCGTGTAGGGCGCTGGTGTATAAACTACACTCCATAATTCCTATGTAATCTCAGTTGGCATTGTGCTTTTACTCGAAGAGCTTTTGTGATTATAAGTAGGTACTTACCCCGAAAGGTCAATCCACTGATCCAAAACCTGTTTAGGATATCGTCCCCCACCGCGGTAGTAGAGGCATTGCCTATCAATCCCATTCGATCAACCACGATTTTTTCCACCCTTGACTCGCCCATCTCCCCTTTATTTCCAAAGTATGCTCCGAGTTCCGTCAGCGACATACGGTATGATACAGAGGCCGATGGTACTTCAGCCGGGGACCTCCAATGCGAGTCAAGCTTTGCCGGTTCTCCATGGCCAGTAATATAGAGCCATCTACCATCTTGACTTATCGCGAGGTTATCCATCACAAAGTCAAACGCGAACTCCCGAAGCTTAACAAGGCCACCCTTTTCAACCACCCTTCCCGAAACATATCGATATGCCGTCACAGTACCCTCTAATATCGATGCCACGAAGACCATGTTGCTTAGAACATTTGCGGAATCAAGCTGGCGATTATTAAAGCCAGCGATGCCTTGAAAAACGAACACGTTAGATAGCATACTCACAAACCTTCCAGTCATACACAAAATTAGACATACCGTTTGCATTTGAGAATCCTCTCAGCACCTTGCGGAATCCTGTTGACTTTGAATGGTAGTAAACGGAACCAGTGGGCAGTCTAAGATACTTCTCAAGCATTCTTCCTAGCCTCGACGAACGGAAGTAGTGGTCGTTTGTGACAAAAAATTCATTTTGTGGGGAACTACCCGGGCTAGGTACCGGGACAGCAAATATGTCGTTCGGGTTGATAAGGCCCTGTTGTACTCCTTTGTCCGGAAAAGGTTTATCAGCAATTATGGTTACAATCCGCAATCATTAAGTGAATCCAATGCTAAGGAATTTACCATTGTACGTAGCCAAGTACAAGGCCTCTTCACTTCCGGACTTGTAGCTGAAGCTTTCGACCACTGATGCGTCTCTTCGATGGTTGACCATATATATCGAAAAATCACCTGGCGCTACTTCCACAACATCCATCCCTTTAAGGACAAATCCGGAGGAAGATGGTAGAATGAGTCGCCGTCAGCTTTGATCCTGAGCAATTCAGGCCCGCATACACCCTTTGCCATCATTGAGAGTGCTTACCGTGGACACAAAAATCAGTATGTTTCGGGAAATCCGGCATCGACAACAATGTCAACTTCTTTGTCTAGAATAGAAATTACTTAACCCCGAACCCCATGCCGATATAATATCATTCACCCGAGAAAAAAAAGAGGCACAAACAAACCTTGAGATCAACCGTGTAAAGGCTATCACGAATGATGCCCTTATCCCCAAGGGACATATCCAGGTCTCCCATTGGTGGAAACCATTTCTTTCTTGACTCCCAGTCTGAAACGCAGGCAGCGAAAAGGATATCACCAATAATCTTGAATTTTTCACAACCGTGAAGCTTTGACGGATGCAAGGTGATACATGTCTCGTGTAGATTAGTGAACTGTGGATCTGGTTCCCAAACTCGAGTCTTCCCTAAAAGAACCGGGTACTTAAGTGCCCATGGTAAAATGAAATAGGCTGCTAGTATTGTTGTTACCGCTGTGAATGCCAATTTCGCCGTGATCCCTTCCATTGTTTTAAGCTCTTAGCTTTGCAGCTGAGGATTAACAATTTGTTGTTGCTACAATAATAAACCCGACTGCTGAAGGTGGAGTTTTGCAAGCCTGCTTTCTATATACTCGCACTGGTGCCGAGACTAGTCACGAACCGAGGCAAGGTTATTATATAACGCCGAACACCCAAACTTGTGTTGGACACCTAAATGCATACCCAGGGTTTTCCATGGATCCATCAACCAATAACAGCTCATAGCAAATTCCATAGATACAACAAGTACAACTCGATATGCCAGCCAAGCGGTTAAATAAACCTGCATTGCCAGTCCAAAGTGTTTCCGGTCATAAACTTAGCCTACCAACTTTTTAAGACCCCACAATGCAATATCGATGGTAGTATTGCAGTCTCACGGGCCATACCCCATCTATCGCAAGTGGTCAGTAGGAATTTAAGGATGCGACTTTGTCTATAAACACTAGGTCATTAAACATACCCAATCTTCCTCGAACCCCACTTCGAGAAACGGCTGTTTGCAGGAGGCCAACCAGATACAGCGTAAAGAATCTATAAGTCGGTTCCATCCAGACTTAAGTACCCGCCAAATATCAGTCATGTTACCAAAGAAAGCCTTTTAGGGCTTCAATCTGCCAGCGCCGCAAGCCGGTAAGTGCAAACATACACCTCTCGTTCCAACAAATACGTCACACTCAATCGCCATTACCAACTGCAGCAGCCACTTGATCGTTAAATCCGTTCTATTACCAAATTCTTTGAGTTGCGTCTCAGGACCAGTATTCAGCCCTTATATTTATCAGAATAGTCCCGCCTAACCAAGAGCTGGGGCCATACTTGGGATATCCGTCCAATACCATGTCCATCTTGAATTGCTCCCGCTATACGAGAAAGGCGTTATCCGTGCCATTGTTTTCATTTGCTCGATGACATTCGGGTCTTCCGTCGAAAGGAAGGCTCTTTTCCAATTTCCAAGTGGATTCTCAGCACTGAACTTTTCTGCACGGACAACGTAATCGTTGAACGGCACAAGTCGCATTTCGGATCTGTTATCAAGTTAGGCAATACCTCCGAGTAGACCAGACTTGTTGGAAGAATTCCATACCCTTTATCTCCATGCCGTACGTGCATACTTATGGTACCCTCCGGGAGGGGGAACGGGACATCAACATTCCTCGGGTCCCCGTTTACATCCCAGTGTAATCCGAGCTGCTTCGTGTCTTCGCCGAGTCGAAATTGTTTAAGTCTCCTAGAGGTATTGCGATTGAATCTCATAATATATGCTGCCGCCTGTGCCCTCCACCAATACTTCAGCATCTCCCTAGTGACATCAGGCTGTATTTTTTTTAGTGCCTCTTCAAATACAAACGGGATTGGATATTTATGTTTCGCTAAAAAAGCTTCTACATCCAGATCAAACTGCCGATCTGAAAAGGTACTTTGCGTGTTGCTATTCATGCCTTTTTGAGCTTGGCTTGAACAATTGCTAAGCTCTTGAAATATGCAATCCAAGGACCTCCCGCAAGAAGCTCTATTTTCTGAAAGGAAGTGCTCCCCTGGCGATTCATCATTTGCATAGAGTAAAATGGCGTCCGTCTGTATCGCGACAGAAAGATAGTCGGAAATACGTTGAATAATAGCCCCTAAGCCAAAGGCGTCGTCCCCGGGAAATTTGTTGAGGATAAGATATCTTTGAGATCCGCAATCGGATGGATGTTGTTTTTCGTAGATGTACCGTTGCACGATCTTTGTTAACGCCATGAGGCCCTGCATTATTGTATTGGCATAAGTTGCCTTAACGTATATGCATATCGAGATTATCTTACGTGATCATCTTGACCTTCAATCAAGTCTAGCCAATCCTCCCCTTCTTCTATGTCGTAAATCATTCTTATTGCACCATCGCGAGAAAGATTTGGGGATTTCGAAGTCGTCCCAACCAGTTTCAAAAATGCTTCTTCAGAATCGCCTAATTTTTGCTCGATATCATCCCTTCCCCTGCTAGATCCCTGGAGGGATTTTACAGGATCGATTGGTACCGAAACGTTTCCATCGTTGCTTGAGGTTGTTTCTAAGGAGTTCCCACGTCTTTGAACAACTATTGTCCAAGGTGAAAAATAACGCCACAGCAGCAATAACACAAAAACCACGACGAATTGGTCAGCAAATCTTGGATTATAGAAGGTTAGCATGCCAGGTTGCTCGCTATGAATAGAAGTCAAAAAACTGTCTTTGGAGGGATACCTTCGGCGTATAGCTATCATTTTGTCCTCTATGTATGAATCATATAATAATTACGTATATATAAGAAGTAAACTTGGGGAAACAAAGTATAAATCAACATCCACATCGATGGAAATGTGAAATTGCCAAGTAGAAATTCAGATGATGGTCACCATGTACCCAATTAATCGGGAAAAGGCTTCCACGGTTAAATACCAATACAGCCGTTATTATGACCACGATACGACTTTCACCTCGCAGGGTTGCGTTTCAAAGGAGGAACTTGACGGGTAAATTATCGATTATCATGCGAAGCCTAGTCAATTGATAGGGGACAGCCACCGACAATACCCTAAAATATCGACATCAACCAATGGTAGGTAATAAAATAACACCAGAACATCAGGAAAAAGGATAACTATTAAATAAATATGTATTTATTTTTGGCAATCATGGTTTTAAAGTATATAGTGAAAATAACATCAGGTGAAAAAAAATACATTACTAGAGCTCTACACCAAGAGCTCTACGCGCACGTGGCCTAAAGAACACCAGGACGAGATTAATGTATATTAGGCACTGAAGACCGACCGCCGACGATAATATAAGATGGCAACGCAATTAATTCTATAACATCTCTCAACAATTAGTTTAACAGGATCCCATTTACTATACCTTATACTATACCCTCAATCCAAATAACAACTATCGCCTTATAATTTATTTTTATTATATTAAAAATTAATAAATAAATAATAAAATAAACTTCTACTATCTAAATACTGTTAGTAGTTATGGTTTGGGAGTATTTAGAGAAATCGGTAGTTGGAAAAATATAATAAAAATAACATATTGTAATAATAAGGGTTAGTGATCAAATAATAATTAATTATTGATTGATTATTAAATAATTATTGATTAATTACTGATTAATTATAAATTAATTATTACAATTTTTATTAACGTAATATACTGTGAAGTGAGACACACTGGGAAGTGAGATAAAAAAAATCAGTTTTTAAAAAATTATTAAAAAGTGAATCTATTATTAAAATTAATAAAAAATAAATCTTTTAATAGATTTTATTTAATATTATTATATATTAAATTTTATTTAGTTTTGTAAATATTTTTAATTTTTAATTAATTTTTAAAGATTAATTTTTAGTATTTTTTCGCTTAAACAACACAAAAAATTATATACTACATTAAAAAAATTTATATGTAAAAATTAAAGAAATTTAATATTTTTTAAACAAAATATTTTTTAAACAAAAAATTTTTTTATTTTTGATTTGTTGGATTTTGTGAAATTTTAATATATTTTTATTATAATAAGTTTAATTTAAAATATTTAAAAATTATTAAAAAATATTAAATATTAAAAGAGTTATTAATGTTTAAAGTTGTAATAAATGTGTTGTTTTTATTAACTTTGAATATTTTATATATTAATAACTTTATGAATTTTCAATATTATTTAAATATTTTTGATTAATTTTATTTATTTTAGTAATATTATAAATATATTAAATTTTTATATATGTATGTATATACAAAGTTTTGAATAAAACCATTTTAAAATACTACAATCTATAGAGTATATAAAAATGTCACGATCTAGCCATATTAACTAACCCGATTAAGAAATATATCTTAGCACAACAAACATACTTTTTATTTTTATTTTTCTTTATCTTATAAAATATTTTTAATTATAATTATTCAAATTTTTTAAATTAAAAATTTATATATTTATTTTTTACTTTATATACAAATATATTATAAAACAATAACGTATTCCATCTAGTTTGCGCGCACACCTAGTTTTGCCGCAGTTTTTTAGAGTCAAACACCCCATTAAAAAATTATTATTAATTTTTACTTTTTTCCACATCTTAATATAATATTATAAGTTTTTATAATTAATTAATTTATATATAAAATCTTACTTATAATATAATCTAATTATTTATGATATAACTTTTTATAAAAATAATTTTTTATTATTTACGAATTATTTTTAGATGAATTATAATATTAAATAAGCTAATTTATAATAATATAATTCAAATAACACTTTATATATATAAAAAAAATTAATTCAAATTAATTTATACTTCTATAACTGTTTATAAAATTTCGAAAAATACTCTAAAAAAATATATTAATAATAATATTATTAATAAATAAATTACGTATTAAATTTAAATAGCAATTAAATTAAAAAAGGAAAAATAATTAATATAATGAATATTATATTTTTATAATTAAAGATTTTTATTACAATTTAATATAATATAATATATAGTAAATAAACTTACAAATTACAATATAAAAAAAATTAAATTAAAAAATTTATAAAATAACATATAAACCTAAAAACTACTTACTTATATATTTTCAATAATAATCATATTAAAATAAACAATCTTAATTCAATTATAAACTTTTATAATTTATTTATAAATACTAAAATAAAATATAATTTTTATAAAAATAAAATTTTTAATATGGATAAAAAAAATTTTATTATGAAAA